TGCTAAAAAATGTAGAGATCTGGAGTAAAGGAAGATACATATATCTGAGTTACAGCTGTTCTTAGCTCATCTATATTTATATTTTAATGGCAGCTGTTATTGGTATAATTTGATGACAGATGCAAGATTTATACATAGTACAGTTAGGTGTATCAGTCTATTCATAGAATTGTGTTAGCAGCAATACTCTCAACTTCTATTTTTATTTCTACTTGAGAACATGCTAGCCACTGAAATAGGCAATCTATTCCTCCCTTATTATCTCTTTGGAAAACATTAAGCATCTTTCTGCTTTAAAAAAAAAAGGCTACTTTTCATATATCATTGTAGAATTCTTGGGATTTCCCAATTCTTGTAAGCATGTCAAATGAAAATAATTCTTTCTTACTGACAATTCAAGTAGCTTTTTTCTTGTATTTTATCCAGCTTCCCTGAATAAAATCAAGAGTACCATTTGTACAGAATTATAAGCAGAAATAATTTATTTGTTATTTTGCGGCAAAGGCCCTAAGATGTTGTTCCATTAAGATGTTGTCTTCTATGATTTTTTTCTTGATATCTATTCCCCTTATTATGTTTTTTATTGAAAATATAATCTTTTCTTACAGAATATTTATTGATTACAGTTTCCCATCCACTATTCTCAGTTCCTTTCCATCACCCCTTCCCTCTGGATCTACTCCCTTTCTGTCTCTCATTAGAAAAGGAAAGGCTCCTAATACATAACAACCAAAATAAAAAATAGTTAGATAAAGCAAAAACATCACATCTAGGCTAAACATGGCAAACATATAGAAGGAAAAGAACTACAATAGGATGCTGAAGATTCAGGGACATATCCCTTCATTCACTCAAGAATCCCATAACAATACTGAGCTATAAACTAAATAGTATACACAGAGGACCAGGTGTGACCTGTGCGTACAGAGGAGGCCCTGTGCTTGCTACTTCAGTCTATGTGAGTTCTTATGATCATTGTTCAGTTGAGAGGTCCTTGTTTTCCTGGTGTCCTCTGTGCTCTCTGCCTCTATCATTGTCTCTGGCTACACTTCTGTTGGATTTTTCTGACCCCTGTGGAGAGGGATTTGGTGGAGACATTCCATTTAGAGCTATGTGTTCCTAGAACTCTCTCCGTATTATCAGTCTGAGGTTCTCTGCATCTATTTCCATCCTTTGCAAGAGGAACTCTCTCTAATGATAACTGATTTAGCCATTGATAAGTGAGTATAACAGAACATCATTACACTACACGTCATTTTATTACTATCTTTTGTTTGTCTCTAGACCTGTAATGTTTGTTTTTACATTAAATCTAGACAGTCTAGAACTGATTGTTGGTTGTCCAAGCTGTGTAAAGTATGGGTTCCATCTTGTTGAATTGGGCTTAAATCCACTCAGATTTTGATTGACAGCTCTCACAGTCTATGCCACCATTGCATAGCATATTTTTTAGGCAGGAAAGAAGGTAGATTTTGAGTTGTGTGACTTTCAGGGTGTCTAGGTTTCTCTTTTGGTAGGCTGTAGTGTACCTTTCCACAGCAAAGACACTAGAAAGCAGGGACAAAGGCACCAGTTCACCTTCTCTCTGTTTAATGAGTTTTGTCCTCAGCAACTGGGCTTCTCTCTCAGTTCAAACAGAGCAACCCGTTATTTTAGCAAAAGCTCAGGCTGTTTGGGGTTTCTCCAGAAGCTCCTCGTACAATATATCAATTGAATGCAAACCAATCCCTCACTGGAAGCTATATTTTTTTGACAAAAGATGTCCAGTTGAGGCTTGATATATCCTACTATTATTAGGAGACATCATTAGGATTGCCTTCACTTATTCTTAGAAATATTACACTGCACTGGAAAGTTTGATTATTTGTTTGTTTTGTTTATTTAACTTTATTTGTCTTACTTATTCACTTTACATTTTGCTCATTTCCCCTCCCAGCCAACCCCTCCCATGCAGTAGATATTTTTATAACATCTCTCAAATGTCCTTCAATTCAATTTCTTCTATCACTCTCCCTCTGTGTTCCCTCCGTTATCATTAGCTTTCCTGCTCTTCCTCACCTTATTCTCACATTTCTCTGCATTCCCATAATCCAACTATAAAGTCTATTCAATTTCCATCCTCCTGGAAATATATTTGTCTTTCCCCTAGTCCCTTTCTCTATACCTCTGAGTCTACAGATTGCAGCTTGGTTATCATTTATCTAATGGCTACTATTCAGAAATAAGTGAATGTATATTGATTTTTCTGAGACTGGGTGATCACAATCAGTAATTTTTTTTCTAATCTCATCTATTTTACTACAAATTATATATATCATTTTTAACAGCTGAGTAGTGTTCTACTGTATAAATGTACCATATTTTCCATTCTTTATCCATTCTTCTATTGAAAGGCTATCAAAATTGTTTCCAGTTTCTAGCTATTATATATTGAACAGCAAGGAACATGGTTAAGCATATGTCTTTGTGGTAGAATAAAAGAGTCTTTGATTATATAGGTCTTGATGTAGATAAAGAACCAGATTTCTGACTAAAAGACATATTGCTTTGCATAATGGCTGTACAAGTTTGCATTCCCACCAGCAATGAGAGAGTGTTCCTCATATTCTACAGTCTTGGAGCATGAGCTTGTATCATTTATCTTAGTCATTCTGACAGGTATAAAATGGAATTTCAGAGAGAGTCAATTAGATTTGCATTTCCCTGATGTCTAGGGATGTTGAGTACTATGTGTTTCTAGGCAATTTGAGTGTTTCACTTATTGTGAATTAGTTGTTTAGATCTATACCCCTAAATTAGATTCTTTAGCTTGTTGATATCTAGTTTCTTGCCTTTTTATATTTTAGATATAGCCTTTCTGTCAGAATTGGATCCATTCTGTGGGGTGACATTTGTATTATTGATGGTGTTTGTTGCTTTACAGAAGTTTTTCAGGTTTATAAGGTCCCATTTGTTAATTGTTAATCATAGTGCCTGTGATATCGTTGTTCTGTTGATGAGGTTGTTTCCTGTGCCAACGAGTTCAAGGCTATTCCCCATTCTCTTGTATTAAGTTCAATGTATCAAGTTTTATGTTGAGGTGTTTTGATTCACTTCGTCTTGTGTTTTGTGCAGGGTGAGAGATATAGATCTAATTGCATTCATCTATATGGCATTGTGACAGCACCACTTTTGAAGTAATCTTTTACTCAGTATACATTTTTGAATTTTTTAATGAAAAATCAGGTGTCCATAGCTCTGTGTTTATTTCTGGATATTCATTTTGATTCCATTGATCGATGTGTTTGTTTTTACTCAAAAAGAACAGCTCATATTACTACAGCTCTGCTATCCATCATGAAATTGGGAAGGATAATACTTTCAACAGTTCTTTTATATTGTTTCATTTTGAATTTTACATCATGCAGCCTAATCCCACTCATCTTCCTCTGCCCTCAAGACCTGCTTTCCACCCTTGCACTCTCATGCCCAACAGGAAAAAAAGAAACCAAAACCTTGTTTTGGAAGCTGTGATATATAACAGTATGTTCTGCAGTATACCCTTTTGGCCACACTTCGTTGCTTGCAAAAGTTCTTTGCAATAAGTCCTTGATCTGGTACTAGGAATCTGGCTTTTGCTACTCTATCAGTGCTAGAACCTCACTAGGACTCCTCCTTGATATACTGTTGTTACCTTGTGTCAAGAAAATCCTGTAATTTTTAATCTGAAGGATTGGTCACTTCATGAACTCCATCATTTCATCAATGGGATAGAAATTGGTATAAACCAATTCAAAGCCCTGGATCTGGGAGCTATCTGAGATGGTCAACTTGTGGCCTCCTTACCAGAAGTCCTGGCAACCAGAGCCAGGTTTATTTTGCTGCCTAAATGAAACTCTAGGCCTGCTCTTTTAAGTAAAGCAGCTGGTGAGGCCAGTTCTCCTACTCTAATGATCCTGCATCCATCTCTCCCACCTGTCCATAAGTATTAAGGAACAAGGGAGGGTAGAAATTCACCTCTATCTCATCCTAGCTACTTTACAGTAGGTAAGCATCAGGGCTGGCTTTCCTGTGCCCACATCTTCCAGGCCAAGCACACCTGCAACCCCACATCTAGGGCTCAGTTGAAGTGCAGTCACTGATCTCCAGAGCGCTTGAGGAGGTGAGGGGCAGGGCCAGCTTTCATGATCTCATGCCCTATGGCCAATTCTCCTGGCTACCATAGTTGGCACAGGGAGAACATGATGGAGGGCACAGTCATACTTACAGGACCACGTCACTCACAACTCCCTCACTGTGGTGGTCTCTCCCTAGTACTTCAGCTGGCTTGAAGCATTGTCCACTCTTTTGCTCTTTTGCTGCCAGGACCAGTTATCCCATGATGCCCAGGCAAAAGGTGCAGCCAGTTTTGCACAACCCTCAGACAGCAACATGTACAAAGGTGGCATTGCAGACCAGGAGTGTCTACCTGGCCATTGGTGGTAACAGATCTCAGGTACTTTAAGGCCAGATGTGGCCTGCAGTGGCAACATTGGCCACTGTTCCTTTCAGACATGACTGGCAACTCACATTAGACTGTTCCTCACTACCATCAATTCTCCAATTTTTCTTCTATTCATTGTTTTCACATCCTTCTGGGTTTTGTTTGTTTGTTTGTTTGTTTGTTTGTTTTTTTCTGTTCCAATTCCCCAATACTTAGTTGCTACCTTATTAGTGCCTGGAAGTCTAAGAATGTCTGGGGTTGTCTGAGAAGTGATTTCAGGAGTGCCATGTTCAACTTGTGATTTACAGCATGGAGCAGAGGTTATCTCAGTTATGGTTTGTTCATCGCCCTCCTCAAGCATATGCTGTGCCAGACTGGTGGCCATCTCAGATTAGCTCCCTGTCTGAGCTCATGACTGTTGTCTTATGTTAGTTTTGGCTCACTCCTTGCCTGGGCATACTTGGGTGACCACATGTGAGGTCCATCAGGTCTGAAAGGACCCAGACTGGTGGTCATTTCTGTCTTGCTATTTTAAGAGAAAGATAGGCCATTAATTATTCAGATGTTCATAGATTAGAACACTGAAAGAAGACATAGACTCTTTCTTCTCTGCCACCTACTAATACACATGTGACAAAGCAGCTACCCCTGCAATGCCTCTGGGTGACAAGTCTCAAGTTTGTTTGTTTTGTTTTGTTCTGGTGTGTGTGTGTGTGTGTGTGTGTGTGTGTGTGTGTGTATGTGTATGTATGTTTCCAGAGGAAGTTGAGAATTGCCATTTCAAGGTTTATAAAGAATTGTGTCAGACCTTTGACAGAGATTCTATTGAATCTGTAGAATTCTTTTCTTTCTTTTATAAATTAATTTTTATTGGATATTTTATTTACATTTCAGATGTTATCCCTTTATCCCATTTTGCCCCCACCCTGAAACTCTCATTCCATCTCACCTCCTCCTGCTTCTATAAGGATGTGCCACCATTAACCCACATACTCCCACCTCCCCACCATCAAATTCCCCCACACTGGGGCACCCAGCCTTCACAGGACTAAGAAATTCCTCTCCCACCTATGCCTGACAAAGCCATCCTCCCCTACATATACACTTGGAGACATGGGTGTCTCCCTATGTGCTCCCAGGCTGTTGGTTTAGACTCTGGGAGCTCTGATTGGTTGGTATTATTGCTCTCGCCATGAGACTGAAAACTCCTTCAGCTTCTTCAGTATTCTCTCTAATTCCTCCATTGGGAACCCTGTGATCAGTTCAATGGTTAGCTGTGAGAATCCACCTCTTTACATGTCAGCCTCTGGCAGATCTAAGGAGACTGCCATATCAGGCTCCTGTCCTCACTTGCTTCCTGGAATCCACATCACCATCTAACTTTGATGACTGCACATGAGATGGATACACAGGTGGAGCAGTCTCCAGATGGCCCCTCCTTCAGTTTCAGTCTTTGTCTCCATATTTGCTCCTATGAGTATTTTATTACTCCTTCTAAGAAGGACCAAAGCACCCATACTTTGGTCTTTGTTCTTCATGAGCTTCATGTGGTCTGTGTGTTGAATCTTGGATATTGTGAGCTTTTGGGCTAATATCCATTTATCGGTGAGTACATGAGTGCATGCCATGTGTGTTCTTTTGTGATTGGGATACTTCACCCAGGATGATATTTCTAGTTTCATCCATTTGCCTAAGAATTTCATGATTTCATTGTTTTTAATAGTGAGTAGTACTCCATTGTGTCAATGTACCATTTTCTGTATCCATTCCTCTGTTGAAGGACATCTGGGTTCTTTCCAGCTTCAGACTGCTAAATAAGACTGCTATGAACATAGTGGAGCATGTGTCCTTGTTATATGTTGGAGCATCTTCTGGGTATAAACCCAAGAGTGGTATAGCTGGGTTCTCAGGTAATGCTATGTCCAATTTTCTGAGGAACCTCCAGACTGATTTTCAGAGTGATTCCACCAGCTTGCAATCCCACCAACAATGGAACAGTGTTCCTCTTTCTGCCATCCTCACCAGCAACTGCTATCTGAGTTTTTGATCTTAGCCATTCTGACTGGTGTGAGATGGAATCTCAGTGTTGTTTTGATTTGCATTTTCCTGATGACTAAGGATAGGGAACATTTCTTTAGGTGCTTCTCAGCCATTTGAGTTTTCTCTGTTGAGAATTCTTTGTTTAGGTCTGTACCCCAATTTTTTATTAGGCTTATTTGGTTGTGTGGAGTCTAGTTTCTTGAGTTCTTTGTATATATTGGATATTAGCCCTCTATCAGATGTAGGATTATTAAAGATCTTTTCCCAATCTGTTGGTTGCCATTTTGTCCTATTGACAGTTTCCTTTGTCTTGCAGAAGCTTTGCAATTTTATGAGGACACATTTGTCAATTCTTGATCTTAGAGCATAAGCCATTGGTGTTCTGTTCAGGAACTTTTCTCATGTGCCCAAGTATTTGAGGCCCTTCTCCACCTTCTTTTCTGTTAGTTTCAGTGTATCTTGCTTTATGTGAAGGTCCTTTATCCACTTGGACTTGAGCTTTGTACAAGGATATAAGAATGGATTGATTGCATTCTTCTACATGCTTTGCAGCACACAGTTTGTCTTCTAGGCTCCAGCTGCCCGTACTCCACTGCTGCTGCTGTTCATAGTGGTCATCACATGGTACTGGCATCTCCAAACCACTGATGTCTTTTACTGCAACTAGAATGCAGTTTCACAAATAGCCTCTCATAGACTCTTTTCATAATGCTCAGCCTCAACTTCTCTGCATGTCCCCTTTGGTCCTGGGTCTTCAACTGCCACAGAGACCAGAAAAGATTACCAAGGCAAATTAATGCCACATAGTGTCATCCACTGTCAGGTTATATTTATATTCTTTCCAAACATCACATGTTCTCTGTCAGAGCCAGCCCTGCTTACACACTGAAGGCCTAAAATCAGCTATAGGCCTAAAATCAGCAATAGGCCTGACATACATGCCTGCTAACACAAAGTCTTGGATCTCTGTGGAAAAACACTGAAACAGATGCCTGGAAGCTATTGTAAACAAGCAGCTTTGGTGGAAAATTCTCAGGGTGAATACACAGACCTTATAGATAGGTAGCCTTGGTGGATAGTACCAATTTAGATAAGGACAAGTGAATCATAGGTGGAGTCATAGTGATCTGTCCCCTGAACCTTCACCCAGTCAATACCCTGTTCTGGAAGATATCTGTACTCCACCTGAAGACCTACGCTCTTGCATCATCCCCTTCCCCACATCCTGCCTTTTTGTGTATATAATCTGTGTGTGAAAAAGTAAAAATTTCGATCTGATCAGACTATAAACAGATCAGCATTTCTTTATGTCTTTGCCTGTTCCTCCCCCCTTTAAGGTGACCTCCTCAGACCCCTGCTTAATGCCCTGCAGGACAGACAGTTCTCTCAAGCATTTGTTCTACCAAAATATCACATGCCCTTTTTCCAGGCAGCTTCCAGCAAAACATGTCTGTTTTAAGCAAAAAATCCTACCATATGTCCAGTTAAACAAAATATCCTCTTTTAAGACAGGTTCCTGGGAAAAATCATATGACAAGAAATTTGTACTTCAGTCTTTCTATGGTGATTAAAAGTTTTGCTGCGTATAGTAGTCTAGATTGGCATCTGTGGTCTGTTTGACTCTGAAGCACAGTGTTCTAAGCCCTTCTGACTTTGAGAGTCCACATTGATAAGTCATGTGTAATTCTAATAACTCCATTTTTAATGTTACTTGTTCTTTTCCCCTTTCAGCTTTTAATATTCATTCATTTTTTCTGTACCTTTGGTGTTTTGATTATTATTTGTCAATGTGACTTTTTTTTTCTGGTTGAATCTGTTGGCTTTTCTCCATGCCTCTTGTATATTCTTTATGGAAGGAGTTTTTCTTTGTTTTGATAAAAATATTTTCTGTGCCTTTTAGATGGGATACTTCTCCTTTCTATCTATTATTCTTAAGGTTTATCTTGTAATAGTGTCTCAGTATCCTGGAAATTTTGTGTCAGAAGTATTTTAAATTTAACACTTTCCTTGAACAGTGTAACATTTTTTTTCTATTGTATCTTCAGTACCCAAAATTTTTCTCTTCAGTATCTTGTTTTCTATAATCCAAGCTTGCTTGCCTCTTCAGTTCTTGCTCAAATTCTTAAATTTTGTATTTTCAAAATTTCCTCAGTTTGAGCTTTCTCTATTAATTCTGTTTACATTTTTAAGTCTTAAACAGTTTTGTTTCCATTAACTATCTGTTTGTGTTTTTCTGGCTTTCTTCAAGGTATTTATTGATTTCCTTATTAAGGAACTCTATCATCTTTACACATGTGGTTTTAAGTTGTGTGTGTGTGTATGTGTGTGTGTGTGTGTGTGTGTGTGTGTGTGTGTACATGTGCTTCAGACACATTGGAATATTCAGGGTCTGCTATGGTAGGATAGCTAGGCTCTAGAGGAGACATATTTCTCTGGATGTTGTTGATTGTATTGTTATGGTGCTGTTTTGGCATCTGGGATAAGGATGATTATATGTCTTGGTATTGATATTCTCTTTTGGTTTGATGATATTTTTCTTGGTTTCTGTTCCATCTTTCTACTCTAGGAAAGTATGATTGGCTGTGTGTTATCTGGTAGGAAAATTTCTTTGGACCTGATAGTTGTGGCCAATGAAGTTTACAGAGAAAAACATGTTTCTTGGTACTGCAATTTGACACTTAGAATTGGGGATAGGCTAAGTGTATGAAGAGGTTCTTTAAATGACTGATTTTGAGATACATGTTATTTCTGTTGTAAGAAAACAGTTTTCTTTGTGTTCATATTTTTAAGATTTAGAGATTTTTATTGCCTAATACAATATGTATTCTTGAAAAAAATATATGAGAGTAACTGAAACTGTCATATTCAGTGGAGCATTGTATAAAGTACTTGGAGACCTGTTCTGGCCATATCATTGTTAAAATCTTCTCTATTATTTATACTAACTATTTATACTAACTTTGCCTGTTATTTTTACTATTAAATGCTAGTTTTAAAATTCTATTTCAAGTGGATTACATACTTTTTAATAAATGATTGCATTATTCTTTAGTGTCATGCTATTAGGTCCATTCAATTTATGATTGTAATCTCTTGTTATAAAATGCCATGATATAATTAATTTATATATTAATCAATTGTTACCAAATAATAATGTTTCATGGGACACTGAAACTCCTACCTTTCTTCCATCCTCAGGCTTCTCCAGCCTGTTTACCTCACCTGCCCTCTTCTGTACTCTGCTCTCCTACAACACTATAGTCTGCATCCCATTTGCTCACCTCTTCACCATAAAACCATGTAACTTTGATCCTACTCTTCTTCCAAAATATAAAATATTTAAATTATACTTTTATAGTTCCCCTTGGAAAATGCAACAGCTCTCTTAGGCTTTCAATTAGCAGAGTAAAGCATCATAGCCAAAAGTAACTTTTGAAGAAACATGCTTATGATACTTTACTATTCTGAGGTCACAGTTCACAACCAAAGAATGTCAGGACAAGAAATCAAGGCAAGAAATTGAAAACAGGAAATGATGTAAAGGTCATGAATGAATACTACTTAATGGCTTGCTTCTTGATAGCTTGCTCAGACTGATTTCTTATAACATCCAGCAAAACCTGGGATGGTA